TTTTCCCGAAAGTAGCCATCCTAATTTGCTACTTACTGCTATTGGCCCTGATGTACCTCTAATAACATCACCAATGATTACATCATATAAATAATCATTACCAATAAGCAAATCAATGCGCCTATTTTGCTCGCTTAGCTTCTTGTCCGCTAGATTAAGGCCTATCAAATGCTGATACTTGCTTACGTCTATGCGCGTATTTATAGGCGAACAAATAGACTGATAGCTTATGGCGCTTATCAAAATTGGCGTCTCATCTATTCCTGTCTCTAACATTAACCTAACGACGTCACATTTCTTGCGTGCTGATTTCTCAGCTCCAAATGTGTTCAAATTTAAGTTTTCCTGTCTTTCGACTTCCAAATTTAGTTTTCGTCTGACTTCTTCAGAGATGTAGCTTCGTTGGCTCCCACTATCGAAGAAAACATTGATTTTCATCCTCTGAGCCTTGTCTGCCCCATAAACATACGCAGTGGCCGTCTGCAGCAATACTTCTTGTTTTCCTGTAACACTGGTAGTTACTTTTGTTTCTTCCTCCGTTTGTTTTGCTCCTTTGTAGCAAATTGACTCGTGGTGAAAATTTCTGCCACATTTTCTGCAATTTCGATTTTCCCGACACTTTTTTGTCATGTGTCCAGATTTTAAGCAGGAAAAACATCGTTTGGTCTCCAATAGGATCTTCTTTCTACCCGTTATTTCCTGGACTTCTTTGCAGCTTGACGGAGAGTGTGCATGCCCACAATAAACACAATCTTGCACTTTTTCGTCTTTCGTCAAAAATGTCTTCGTAGTGCCTTGTGGTGATTTTGGTCCATATCCTGAAGTTTTGTCAAATTTCCTTTCGACGGGCGTGATGTTATCGCTCAGTTCCCTGGCTTCAATTTCCTTTTTGACGATCTCCAATATTTCTTTTATCGGCCAAACTTCCTCGGTCGTCTTTCTGGCGACATGCAATGTAATTTCTCGCGGCATTCTTGCCATAAGGATTGGTACTAATAAACTGCCATAACTTGCAGAACTCATACCAAGGGCTTCAAGCCCCCTTACGTGTACATTTATGCTGTCGTAAATGAAGCGCAATTGCTTCACGTTTTCGTTTGGGCAGTTTTGTAGCCCAAGGAGAGCCTGCATATGCGTCGAGATTATTTGTTGTTTGTTGCCAAACCTTGCCTTCAAAATTTCCATTGCATTTAAATAATTTTGTTCCGTCAGTTCGAGTCCTGATACTGCACGGTATGCTGGACCCTCCAACAAATTCACCAAGTAGTTGAGCTTATCAACTGCAGTTATGCTTTCGTTTTTATCTATGGCATTCTCGAAACTCTGCCAAAAGGACATGAAACGTGTTATATCTCCGTTAAATCGTGGGAGCGTTATTTTTGGCAGACGAATGGCAACAGAACCCATGGTAACCCCGCTTGTATTGAGACCATGTTCGTTGTTTGTTGCTTGTTCAACGTTTTCAGCTTCTCTGGAAGGCGTTGACGTAATAATTTGTGTCGTTCCACTCCCAACTCCGAATGCATTGGTCTGAGCGTAACGACCGTCTTTAAAAGCTTGAATCCTTCCCAGAATTTCATCGATTCTGAAATTCAGCTCCGTCGTTTCATCGATTTCTTTTTCAATGTTAACTTCTGGACATAATTCCAGTATCTTTTCGTTTAGTCCGTTCACATACGTTTGCTTTTCTCGAAGAGACTTTTGTATCGTTTCTAAACGAATCACCTTCTCGACTTGTTCTCCATTTTCATTAATTAGTTCTTCAAGAAGAGCCGTGGCTTGTCGTTCAAGCTTCGTAATGGAGGTTCTATTTCCTCCTCGTATTGCTAACAATTTCTTTAATTGTCCACTGTTACCTTCTGTATCAGTGGCCATGATTTCGTCGTATTCCGTGCCCCGCGTTGGGCGACATTATATTTTGAACATAGCTTCGGTAGAGGGTAGACGTGAATGAAACTCCATATCGTTGATTTTATCTTTAAATATATACAAAACGTGACTATATACAGCTATAACGTAAACGTAACTTGTTAGCCCATCATAAACTTGTAGCGTGACTTTATCGTAACTTCACTACTTCAAACAACTTAACCTTACAATAAAGGGCGTGAATATATAACGTAAGAAGACTGGGACGAGTAGGAATCCCCCATGATGGCTTGGGCTGCGAAATATATTGACTTCACAACAATTTCACAGATTCTTCACAATTTTACTTCAAAGACTAGAAGTAACGATACGTTATAAAATGCATGCGCTTGAGGAAAGGAAAAATGCCAAAGTTAAGTTGTATGATGGCGGTACACAGAAATGGACAAAGACAAACACAAGAAGTACTTGATTATCACCAGGATATCAACAATAACAGAACAAAACAGCTTAGTAACACAACTCATATTGAAAAAGTATTAGCAACATCAAATGAGCTCCCGTTTTTGCCATCATTACGAACAGGTTTCTATCAAAGCTGCCAAACGCCAGGTGTAGAGGCAAAGTATATTTTGAGGATTTTAGGAATTTTTGTCTGTTATAGAGCAGAAGCTTTCAAAATTCTCATGCTTTATACAGAAGGCTAGGTTCGTCATATGAAAAAATTTTTTCGCCACATGCACAAGCAGAAGACTAGGTTCAGGAAGTTTTCCAAGATATCAAATAAAGAAATGGCAATAAAACCATGACAAATGGCCTAGCTGTTTTCTATTATTCTCCCCAAGAGGTAGTTGCTACTTCATAAACTAAAATTTCTGCATCTATTCACAATTTTAACTGTAAAATATGAAACACCTACGAACGTGAATAATTGAGTTTCAAGGAAAATGGGAATGTAGAGAATATCTCTGCTTGTTAACGCAGGTTCAATAAATGATTTGAGTAAACTCTTAGAGAATGACAATCTTTATGTTTTCTGAATTTTCTGCTCAACACAACTCAACGTACATCGTGAAAAAATCTTTCTCTACGAATCCTTAGCGCTCGATTCAATTTCAAACTTTTATAGAAGCAAACAAGGAACTAAAATTTATCTTAGCCAATCACAATCAATTTTAACTACTACTCAAGCCAATAAAAATCAAGAATACGATTGACGTAGTTAATCCTATTACAATAGCTTACTTCCAGAAAATTCTGGCTGGATCCTTAATCTACTGTCTCGGCCTCAAAGTGAGGCTTTTACGTAAATTGCATAGTTCCGTAGTTATGTAACACAAGCATACACAATAAAAAATAAACGTGTTGATTTAAGAATAATAGGTTAAGAAATTACTAGAATACCGAAGAAACCACGATGGGGATTCCCCGACAGGGAAGGTAATGCATAATTCTTGGCATTAAACTCTTTTTCTTATAAAACCAGTAAATTTAAGTTCAGGCTGACTGTTCTTAATTTGTTCGAAAATATAAGGCTGGATTGTTCTCAATATGTTCTTAAATTAAGAGGGTGTGTAAAATTTGCTGCTGGTATATACATTTGTAAAACTTCTGACACCATTCGTTGTTTGAGCGATTGACCGAGCGAATAAACGACACGTTTTGACACACAAAATCAATTCCTTTTGTTCCATCCAAAGCTAAGACGTACTTTTACACAATATCGAAACTTAGGTACTAAACAGCCTTTCACAAGCACTGTTACGCCATTAAACTATATATATATGAAACGAAACCTCGAGTGCTTTCACAAGCCACTCGGGTTGAATGCCATCAGCCCTCTCTTAGCCTTTCCATCCATGACAGTTCTTTGTGTGTGTGTGAGTTAGTGTCTACATGTTTGATAGCAGTGGCCTTTCGCAAGCACCACGCTTCTCTCTCTAACTAACTAACTAACTAACTCTGTTTCTCCGTACTCTACTTTATATAACAGCATTACAATATAGCAAACTAATATCAATAATTGCCGGTGTTATTGTCGGTATCTATCGTGCAATACGTAAATGAACTAGTAGGAGGTGTTAGATATATTAGGATACGCGGGGGAACTTTGTAGAGCAAAAGGGCATGTAAAATATTACTATACCGGAAAACATGAAAAACTAAAGCGCGACACGCTAATATTTCCTAATCAAATAGAAGCATGAACAAATATAAGCATAAACGCAAGACTGACCTAAAATGAAATAAGTACCTATATTACATACCTCCCTATCAAGGAAAATGAATCGTCCTCGATTCTTAAAGTGAATCTAATGAAAAATAATTAAACGTCCAATGAATATTTGTGTCCGTAAACTAGAAATCGACAAGTCCTGTGATTGAGATATTTGCCAGCTACTGGGTTTGACTATGCATCTCTGGATGGTATGCAGGGTGTTCGAACTGTCGTCTCGTGAACAGTTGTTCGTCGCCTTCCATCTTGAGGTACATGTCCTAAACTGATTCGTGAATCTGGGTTCTGGTCTGTTTCCAGCACCATATAATCCCACTCCTGTCACCATTGTAAAATTTGCTGCTGGTATATATATTTGTAAAACTTCTGACACCATTCGTTGTTTGAGCGATTGACCGAGCGAATAAACGACACGTTTTGACACACAAAATCAATTCCTTTTGTTCCATCCAAAGCTAAGACGTACTTTTACACAATATCGAAACTTAGGTACTAAACAGCCTTTCACAAGCACTGTTACGCCATTAAACTATATATATATGAAACGAAACCTCGAGTGCTTTCACAAGCCACTCGGGTTGAATGCCATCAGCCCTCTCTTAGCCTTTCCATCCATGACCGTTCTTTGTGTGTGTTTTGTGTGTTAGTGTCTACATGTTTGATAGCAGTGGCCTTTCGCAAGCACCACGCTTCTCTCTCTAACTAACTAACTAACTAACTCTGTTTCTCCGTACTCTACTTTATATAACAGCATTACAATATAGCAAACTAATATCAATAATTGCCGGTGTTATTGTCGGTATCTATCGTGCAATACGTAAATGAACTAGTAGGAGGTGTTAGATATATTAGGATACGCGGGGGAACTTTGTAGAGCAAAAGGGCATGTAAAATATTACTATACCGGAAAACATGAAAAACTAAAGCGCGACACGCTAATATTTCCTAATCAAATAGAAGCATGAACAAATATAAGCATAAACGCAAGACTGACCTAAAATGAAATAAGTACCTATATTAC